TAGCAGGCAGACGTGGCTTCGGTGCTTTACGACGGTACGAAAGACTTCCACACATCGTTTAGGAACGAGGTCGAGGACTGCCTCGAGCCGAGGATGGAGTCCATAAACTGTGCGGGCGATGTCGTTACTATCTCGTGGCTGTCAAACAATGAGGTCATCTGCGGCGTAACGACGCACTCTGACAGTCGAAACCAGCAGTACAACAAGCCTGGCCGCGTCGACTGCGTGTAGTGGCCCATGCGCGGAGGCTACAAAACCTACGATTCTGAGCATTTTGAGCCTAAAATCAATCAATTCCGGCTTAATTTCACCCGGTTGTGGTCGATGCAAGTTGCGCTTTCGTTAGCTGCACAGATCCAATGTGGCCATAACTAGCTGTAGCTATTCGCGCTTTTCGTCACAGTGGAAGTCCCGTACCCGTGCCACGCCCCACGCGCCTTTGGCCGTGCGTCCTCGACTTCTCGACGTGCCAGAAAAGAGTGGGACATGGCACGGGGCACTCGAATGTGGGGCTCACGACGCGCTCTTCTCCCGTTATAATTTTTCTTCGCATACCCCGAATGATTCAGGGTTACGATAGAACCGGCTGCTGCTCGGCCTAGAGACAGTTGCAGTATTCCTCTTGAAGGCGACGGTTTTGAAATTTTGTAGAGATGCAGCTGAGGCTCGCCTCCTTTACCCGACGTAGGAGAGCTAGATCGTGAACCGCTTGGAGCTGAGACCCGCAGTGGGGTATAAACCTCAAGTCTAGCAGGTTAACCTTAAATCAACGACAATGCTTTGCAAAAGTCTTCGCTTAGCACGGTCTTGGTACCTCGTCGTCGCTAGTTGCCAACTCACCCACACCTCACATCCCTGCCAACAGCACATACCTTGAGCACCACGCCGACGTCGATTTCTCTATCTTTACGACCGCTGTCGATGCGACAGTAAGCTAACAAGCTCATTGAACGTAAGTCCACTGCTTCATCGTCTCCGGTGCGCCCTTCCTCGTCGTCTGCTTCTCTATCCAGAACCAGCAGGGCTCGATTGCGTTGAGATCTGGTGAGTTGCTGGGCCATAGCATTTTGGCCTCATCCCACAGCTTGTAGGTCTCCTCTTGGAACAAATGGCGATGGCAAGGAGCGCCGTCCTCTTGGACGATTGTGCCTGGCCTCCAGAGCTGACACCTCTTCGCAAACGGCTGCAACTTCTCAAGCAGAAGTTTCTGACGGTATCGCTACTAGTCTACCCCATTGCCGTTGCGGCATGCTAACATCCCAGTCTTCTGGCTCCATCTCCAAGTTGGCTTCCGACCTCCAAAGCGTGTCGCCAGCTTGCACCTCCTGATGCTATTGCGGAGCTCCCGCTCGTCTCGATACTTCGGCTCCAACTCTGCGTTTAGGCTGTTGGTCTCCGCTGTCGCTGCCGCCCTCTCTGCCTTGTTCTCTGGCCGCTATATATGACAGGGCCCTTTCTGGTCGTAAGAGAAACACCCCTAAAACATGAGCTCCGAGTACCCCTTCTATCGCGATCGAATGTAGGACTTGATAATCCGCCCTGTGGGCTTTCTCCAGATCTTGTAGCTGCCTCGACGGTGGCTTAAGACTACCGAGGACTCGTTGGAGAAAATGACATTCTTAAAGTCGATATCGCGGTGTCCGGGGGCCCAGGCTAACCTCTTCGCTTTAATCGCTTTAGTTATCCTAGGATTACTCGTCGGCTTCGTTTTGCGGTACTGGGTACGGTGGAGAACCCGCCAGACTGTCGTCGTCGATATATCTATTCCTTCTGGGTTGAGCTCGTTTGAAATCATCGAGCACGCCTCCTCGCGACCGTACATGTTAGGGCGTACCGAAGGAGAGCGCAGGTTGCGCGTGCGGCGACGCCGAGTTTGACGTGTGTGGCTATGCTGACGGTGTTGTTGATGTTGGTGGTGTTGGCGGTGGCAGGGAGCTCTGCAGGAGCAGAGTGTCCTCCGAGTTCATTGACGAGTGTCGAGACCTGGCAGATTTCGACTGGACCCATGGACCCGAGGGCACTGCAGTCCCGGTGATTAAGAAACTGTGGCAAGCACTGTACGTCCTCCTGCCGGGCGCCATTCGGCAGCCTGATAAACATGTCCATCGCCTGCTGTCCAACACGGCCCGCAAATCCGTCTGGTTACAGGAGGCTTCCGAGGACGGGGCGCGCACTCTGCGACAAGAGAGCCTCGGCAGACCTCGCACTTTGGTACAAGGGATAACACACGAAGCAAGCAATGCTCGACAAAGGGGGCTCTGCTTTCCAGTATCTCGGGGCACTGTGATGCGTAAGCGAGAGAGGAGGCAAGGAGACTGTCCTATCCTTTCGAATATATCAACCCAGGTACCAGTGATGAGCATGGTTCCCCTCCGACTTCCTGTATCCAGCCTGTCCGAGCACGAAGAGCGATGGTTCGCCGCTAGCCTCTGTTTGTCGATACCTGCCCCGGTGCAGCGTCGTCGAAGGCCTGCGGCTTCATGGTCTCGACTGTGCGGGACCGGGAGTTCATGAATCGATAGGTCATCTCGTCTAGGTTGTGAGTTCCGAGCGCGGCCTCGTGCTCGCTAATGACATGCTGGACGAGGTGGGCGAGGCTCAGACGGACAGGAGCCAGCGTCAGCTCAGCCTCGCGATGCTCAAGGCTGGGCCCCAAGATTGCCCTTCTGAGGACGCGCTTCTAGGTGCTCACAACGTTGTCAATGAATGCCGCCTTGCACCAGAACTGGCCGATAAGGCAGGAGATCTTACAGATCTCCACCGAACCCAGGACTATTAGGATACTGCCGTTCTGGCGATCGAAAAGCTGTACTAGGCGCTGTAGGCCTTCAGACTCAACGCTTTTCGGACCCCGAACAGACACGTCGTCTGCCTTTTGTCTAATACTACCCCCGAATCCGTCCGGGTAGAAGGTAAAGACATTCGACCTTAGTCCGCACCTGGGTGTTCCTGAGTTCCTAGCCTCGCGAGATGACACCTGTAGCGGCTATGTGCATACCCTGAGACTGATCCATCTTTTGCGGAGCTACTGCGCTAGAACAAGTCATTCCTCCGGAATATAATCCGTTAGAATAACGTAATCCACGGGTGAGCGGGTCACACGGGTGAACGGGTCACCGTACTGCAATTTCATTGAGGTTCACTTCCTTCTCCTTTTTCTCCACCTTTAATCATGGGACGACAATCAATTGAAAGTGATTTGGTTCTAGCGTTAAATGCGCTCCAATCCGACCCAAAATTAAGCGTACGAAAGGCTGCGCAGATCTACAATGTATTTCGTACGACACTCCAGCAGCGATACCACGGCCGAGCTGCGAAACGAGATACCCGACCACCCTGCCAGAAATTGACCTCATACGAAGAGGACAGTATCGTACGATACATAATCGACCTAGATTCGCGATCGTTTCCGCCGCGCTTAAGTGGTGTTCGAGGAATGGCGGATCGACTCCTCCGCGAACGCGACGCGCCACGGGTTGGAACGAACTGGGCTGCGAACTTCGTACGACGACGATCTGAGCTCCATACGCGTTTTAATCGAAGAATCGACTACCAGAGGGCCCTCTGCGAGGATCCGGACGCGTATCGCGCGTGGTTTGAGCTCGTACGAAACATGATCGCGAAATACGGGATCCACGATGACGATATCTATAACTTCGACGAAACGGGCTTCGCGATGGGTAAAATCTCCGCCGAAACTGTCGTTACGACCTCCGATCGACGCGGGAGGCCAAGAGCCGTACAACAAGGCAATCAGGAATGGGTTACAGTAATCCAGGGTATCGCGTCGTACGGCTATTCAATCCCGCCATACATTATCTTCGCCGGGAAGGTCCACCTCGACTCCTGGACCGCGAATAGCCCTCTACCGGCCGACTGGGTAATCGCGCTTTCAGAAAACGGTTGGACGACGAACGAGAGAGGCCTAGAATGGGTAAAACACTTCGATTTCCATACAAAGAGTCGTACGAAGGGTACCCACCGCCTCCTTATCCTCGACGGCCACGAGAGCCACCATTCCGTCGATTTCGAGCTCTACTGCAAGGAACAGAATATTGTTACCTTCTGTATGCCTGCTCATTCGTCGCATAAGCTCCAGCCTCTCGATGTTGGGTGTTTTGGACCTCTGAAACGGGCGTACGGTAAAGAAATCGAAGGTCTAATGCGGGCGCACGTAACCCACGTTTCAAAGGAGGACTTCCTCCCAGCCTTTTATAAGGCGTACGACGCTGCAATGACCAAATCAAACATCCAGGCAGGCTTTAGAGCGACAGGCCTAGTACCGTACGACCCGAATTATGTGATTTCGCAGCTAGATATGAAGTTTCATACGCCGACACCGCCAGGTTCCTCTGCTGGACTACCACCCCCATGGGTTTCAAAGACGCCGAACAACCTAATTGAGACCGAATCGCAGACGAAGTATATTGAAAATCGCATCGTACGACACCAGAATAGCTCACCGTCGTCCATTGTTGAGAGCGTACGGCAGCTGAGAAAAGGAGTCATGATGATGGTACACGAGCAGGACCTTATGCGCCAAGAGCTCGCCGAACTTCGAGATGCAAACGACCGCCTCAGCCGCCGTCGTCGTACGAAAAGAAAGCAGCTACAGAAAGGAGGGTCCCTCACGATTAATCAGGCAAAGGATTTGAAGGCTCAAATCGATGCGACGCAGCAGTTGATAGCGGAAACGAGTCAGAATAGTGGTCGTACGAGGAGGCCCGAAACGCGCGCGCGACGATGTGGCGTCTGCGGCGAGCCCGGGCATAATGCTCGTACGTGTCAGAAAGTTGTATCTACCTCTGAAGAAGAGGATTCCTCATAGTTTCAATTGATTTAAGGCGTTATGGTTGAATTATCTTACACATTGTCGTACGAGTGCCTTCAAAGTTGGCGGGTCACTTGTATTGGCGGGTCACTTGTGGATTACGTTAATTGTAGTGCATTTCTTGAAGAAATACACTGCACAAAAAGTGTTTGGATCAACAAGCTCTCAACTAGCCACGGAGCCGCCTGGCCAGTTGTGTATCCTTCTGCTAGTTGGTGAGCTTAAAACTTTAATGGAATAGTAGAAGCACGAAGCACGAACCGATTGAATAGTCACCCTCTTTGCATGAATAGCGCACAAATTTGTGTCCTCGAACAAGGCTATGAGAAAGCTCTCGGTCGATTCTTGTAACGCTCCTATTGCTGCGGACTGAAATCGCATGCCGTTCTTAAAGCTTGCAGTGATTTCACGTATGGCGTGGCGGCAGCAGATCAGGTTCAAGGAGTACTCGTGCTGCTGGACGTGCGGTCTCCCACAGGCTTGGACGCTTTGAGTATTTCCCGGAGACACCCCCGTGTACCCTGGTGGCGGAGGAACCGGCTGGAGAGGATCGTGTGGTGCATACAGTGGCGGCGGCATCACCATCACCGACGAGCCAGCAGCAGCACTTTGGCCTGCCGCGTAGTACTGCATCTGCTGGTCCCAACCACTTTCACCACCAACCTGATTCGCCGTCGCATGAGCTTGCCCAACATGTTCCGCTTTGTAAGTAATGCTCTTTGTTCCGGTCGATTTGTTTACATAAGTCTTGTTCCTGCTGTTTGCATGGTTGACTCACACGATCGTAGCTCCTAGCACAAAACCCTCGATATCATCACCCTCTTCCACAAGGCCGGTAACTTAGCCTCGACGCGTACGGCGACTCTGCTCAAGCAGATCTCCGCCAACGCTTCTGAATCCGCCACTAGCGACCAGGCCAGCGACCGCAGCGCCTAGACTGCCCCGCCGCGCGAGGACGCGCGAGGAGTTTAAGCTTAACATTACCGAGGAACCCCCTACCGAGGACCAGCTACGCACAATCCTAGGCTATGTCGGACAGAGCAAAGTTAGCTCCGTCGTCAAGGGCGCCTCTTTAGATAATGATGCCATCAAGAAATTCAGATCCAGCACTAACGCCTTCCAGCGCCCAGTAGTCAGCCAACCGATGCCGCCTATGTGTGTATTTGACTCTACAGAGGAGAGGCTAATGTTGTGTGTTAACAGATTGTCGACTAGAATAATAGCAAGGCTGTTACTAGCGCCGAAGGGTCCCAGATCCTCAAGCTGCTCGAGCAACCCAAAGGCCAATCAGCTTAAGTAAAAAAGCAGACAGTTGCCCTCTCAGACTGAGCACGGAATTATCCACATGTACAAAGCCGATACCAGAATGTAAAAAATACCAAGATACCAGAGAAAATCACAGACATCTATGCTAAGTGATACTTCTCTCCGAGCTGCTGAGTGTTGACGAGAATGTCCAGAGTCGCTGCCTCTGCTGATATCGATCGAGTATCCCGCCTCTTGTGCTTTCGCAGCAGCCGCAGCCTGGAAGACACCCGCCTTCCCAAACGCGACGTGGGCATCCTTCTTCTTCTTGTGGCTCGTGTGCGCATGTTCGAGCGCCATGCCCGCACCGTCAAGCGCAACATGCGTGGCAGTCTTGACCGCGGTATCGCACAGCACAAGCCCGTGCTCGGCACCATTCTGCACGATGCTGTCGGCGCCCGCGGACCCTACGCCGAGAGTGACCACCCCAACTGTGCCAGAGAAGACCATGCTGACCAGCACGTCCCTCTTACGCGTCTTGTGCGTCGTCCCGTGGCGCTGGAGGTGCCGCTCGATGATCTCGCGCTTGCGGCGAGAGTTGTGGATTCCCAGGGCGGCGAGGGCGACGCCTATGGTGCTGATGCCCGCGGTCAGGGGGATGGCGAGGCCCGCGATGGCCGTCGAGGTGCCGCCGCCCGCAATGAGGCGCGTGTAGTGCTCCCACTCCTTCTGGAGCTCGGGAGGGGTCATGCCCGCGCACTTGGCGTCGTAGGCTTTGAAATCGAACGGCATCTCTGCGTTGTGAGGTGCCCGAGACTGACTGTAGGGGAAGGGTTGTCCTAGATCGTCGTCGAGATCGGTTTCCGTGTTGTCACGCAGCCATGAATATTCTGTGTTGGGTAAGATCTACGAACGTATCTTGGGAAAAGAAAGAGAAAAAGAAGAAAGAGCCAGAGTCGAGGCCAAAGCTGCTTGGCTGCTCAATGGAGGGCTACCTGTGTCTTGGCCATCGTTCAGCTGGGTGGGCTGAGTGCTTGCACCACTTGGCCCGAAGGCCTGCGTCTACCCGGGCAACTCGCGAAATGGTCTCACATGTGCATGACTTGGGAAGCCACACGAGGACAGGACAAGCGCAACAAGCAAGTCTGACGTCCCAGGCCAACACAAGGCTTATCCCGTGGTGCGGCTGAGATGCACGGACAGGGGGCCACTCAGCAGTTCTGCCTTGCCAGTGGGATAAGGGCGTCTTTGGCGCATGTCACAATGAGTCTGGGCCGCTCCCTTGCGAGGGGAGAGCCCTGCAAGCCTACGGAGACTATCGTCAGTCGCGGGGTGAGAGTTGCCGGTGTTGTGTGGCCGGCATGTGGCCTGCGCCTGCAAATTTCACAAGGCACTTGGCGCCCTTCCTAGGTTATGGGTCCTGTATGCCCTCATATGGCGTGTGCCAAATAACGGTCATCACATTGTATCCGTCGCATGTAGAAAAGCTTGGACACTTCATCCTACTCCTGCCGTTGAGCCGGATGTGACTCCTTCGACATCCTTTCGTTGGATGACTGACAGATTGTGGTTGGCTATCTCTTTCCGACCTGCTTGCTTATGCAGAGAATGGACTTGATTGCCATGCTATCTGTGTGTCCTGCGCGATTGCCCTGCACAACATCGAAACCAAAATCTCTGTAATGGCCGCGTCTGCTCTTCCGAGTCCGGCCGGGACTGGCCGTGCGTGGCGCAACGCAAGGAGGTCCACTCCGGGTCTTACATGGTCGGGCCCCGATTCGGGACGGCGGAATACTGGATCTTGTCGGGAGCTGGTGCCTGCAAAGCATGGGACTTTCCGGTCATGCGCGCGAAAGATGGGTTGCGGGAGGACTTTTTGTCCATTTACCCGAGATCGATTCTTACAAGTCTCGGAGGCTCGCCCATAGCTGAGACAAACACTTGTCGACGATGTATTGAGCATCACAAGCTCACACAACTACAACCCAGCTTCTTCATCATAGTCCGGATGATACATGACTTTGACTGCAGGCGTCCTTCGATAGGAACCTATTATGCTCCGATCCCATGTCACAGCTAGACCCATGTTGGACTTCCCACAGGGGCAACGAGCCGCCGCCCAGACATCGGGATCTGAGGTACCTCAACATCACACCATCGGGATCTAGAGATGACGAGAAGCACGTTTCATACCCGTCGTACAGTCTCGTCAAATGACGCCTAATTCACAAGCAGCATCCCTCTTATAGCGAAGGGACGGATATATGCCAAATATCGGAACACGACGCGGCCGACTCGGAGAGGAAGGAAGCGCGCAACGTTGAATTCCCGATTAGTTGAACGTTTGGCTTTGTGATGCCGTGTAAGCGTCATTACCGAGCCGTTGTAGATCTATAGACCGCGTTCACCGAGTGCGCTGTTCTGGTACGTGAGACTAAAAAGCTCTGGTGATCGCCCAGTCTGGCCGCCTGTCGTGTGTATACAGCCTGCAATGGACTCCAGCAGTTTCTCTGCCTTCTTTTGGTAAAGTAAGACTGCGCTTGCTTTCCACATGCCGCTCGTCTCGTCGAACAGTCCAGAAGTACGAACACAAGCCTGCTTGAATAGCTTAGCGTGGGCGTGGGCCAGTTTATCGTAGGGATGGCTGACGAAACTGAATCCATCTGCAGTGTTGACTAGGTCGTCCTTGACCTTCGCGAGATCAACGTCCACCTGTAAACCAAGCATGAGCTCCTCGCAGAGTTCCTCTGCATGCGTAATGAAGTGTGCTGATAACTGTCGGAAGGTGTTTATAGAAATAGTGAAGGAGTCTCCGTACGACACCCTTTGTAAATCGTCACTCCAGTAGAGGAAATATGACGGGGTGTCTGTTCTGGCTATCACTCTCCCGTAGTCACGGAGGCTCAACATCTCTGGTAGGGGGGTCATTGACTTGCTCAGCATATATCTATGTCGTACTGATTCAAGCCGCTCAAACTGCCGGTATCGTGGCCGCTGAGGAATTCCGATATAACCGTAGGCTTCGAGAGGGAGGGCATACTCCAGGAAGAGCAGCCGCTGCACATAGATTATGGCTGAGAGGGTCGGAGTATACAGCCTTGCCGTTCGAAACCCTTGGCCATCGGATTTGATGCCGAGAATACTACTGAAGTAGACGAGATGCGTTGAGTTGGGATGGCCGTCGATAAAGTCCTCGGTGCAGAATGTGATAGCTAGCTTGAAGAGCAATTCGAGAAGTTGCCCTAGTGCTGGTCCAAAGAAGCTGGCCTGATGCCGAGGGATACTCGCGTCTTCGACACTATCCCCTGTTTCGCTCTCTCCGTCGCTGAAATCCGAGTCGCTCAAGTCCTCGTCAATACAGTCGCTCTTATCTTCGTCCTCGTCAATATCTTGAATAGTCCTAGCATTCTGCCGTTCAAAATCAAGCATAGCGGCTTGCTTATAGGTAGCAAACGATCTTTTCCTCGACTGCGGTATAGCCGAGGAGAGTTTTGACATGTCATGTTTCTGTTCCTTTTGCTATCCTGAATACTGGTTGATTTTTGTTGCAGGCCGCTCTATCATAGGCGTTAGCCGTGGCTGGCAAGCCGGTTTCCCGGCTAGAATCCATCGAACAAGCTGCTCCCCACTCCAGGCTTCGTGGGACCAGATAGCCCGAAGTATCTGCTGCTGTTCTGAGCTAAAGCGGACGGGGAGAAGGTCGTGACGCTGGAAGTCTGGTAAGCGATAAGCACGGAAGATAAAGGCGATAAAACGCTGGAATATTCGGAGATATTTATGTCGGCTAGACTTTGCTGATACTAGAGTAAACGGCTTCGGATAGATCTTCTCCGGGTGAAGGGTTCGGAACCAGCATAGAACCGAGCGAGACGTTCCACGGGCTGTCTGCTCACAGCGAGAAAGCATCCAGTCGGTCATAGTAATGAGCCCGGATATCTTCACCTCGTCTCTCCGAGTACTGATGTAGGGAGTAGTCGCAGGGTGGAGGCCCTTTCCAAGATGTAGCAGTCTAGTAGGCTGGTTCGAAGGTATGGCCGTGAGGGCCACTAGTACTGCACAGTTGGCGCTTTCGAAGATCTGTGGCCACCTTGTCCGGTCGAGCCATGGCTTGCCCTGAGAGATAGCGGTCCGTCTATCATTTGGGTCTTTCCTTGCCGTGTCGAAGTTCGAGATAGTAGGCTTTCTAGGCTTTTCCGGAGAATGCTATTCAGCTACGCGACCGGGCACTGGCCGAACTGTACTCCCATCTGCACCAGTCACGGACCAATATCGTCGATCAGGCCCGCCCGCCCAAGACTGTAGATAGACATCGTCGTAGAGAAGGCCAATTCGCGGCCGGGTCGCGGTTTCCCCGTGAAGGTGGTTATGAGAGAGGTGCCTTGTAAGCTCGTGGAAGCTAGTCGTGAAGAAGACGCACTTCCGGCAGCTGAAGCCATCATACGTCTGGAGATCCGGAGGGGCTTAGAACCACATGGCGGCAGAGCTGCATCTGTAGGTTTACGGAAGCCCTGCGAGTAATTATCGCGTATATGCTCCGCAAGGCCTAACCGGTCGGCCAGTGGAACGCTGTGCTTGTTCCAGAGGTGTGCAGTTACTTGGCCTCCCTCTGGGGAGATGGCGTGTCGGCACTCGATTCGACGGCAGATGAGGACGTGGTATTCTAGATCGGCGTAGAGTTGCAAGTACGTGAAGACCTGGTCGGGACCACTATCGTCTTCCGGCCTCGTAGCTGGTGGGATTGGCGATCGGTCTCGCATCGTCGTACTGCAGGTCGTCTTCGTAATACCGGTATTCTGGACTGTCGGTGGGTCGTATCTGGGGAAGAATTGGGGCAAATCTGGGGTTCAGAGTGGACTCAAATTCGCGGGAAAAGGGGCTAGAATGAAACGGACCTGCTACGTGCACAGACCTTTCGTAGGACATGACATGTCCAGGGAGAGAATGAGCAAGACTTCACGGTGTACAGGGATGCCGTCGGCGATGTGGGGTGGGCGGGTCCCTCGGTTTTCACTTAAAACCGCCCTGGAATAAGACAGTAGGCGGGTTAGAGTAGAGGAAACGTAGGTCTTAGGGGTAAGGTAGTATCTAGGGTAAATCCGGGGTGTAGAACTTTAGAGGAAAAGGGGCTTAAATACGTAGTCCCTCGTCGGTGCATAGGCGTTTCGTAGGACATGTTATTTCCCACGATGAAATGAGAGGGATCTGGATAGAAGTTGAGCACAATCTAGAAATGTGCGGCGCACAGGACGGCGGAAGTTCAGTTAAGTTTGGGATAGAATAAGACAGTAGGTCCGAACACCAGCTAGTAGTGTTTAGCTACATGCGAACTACTACGCCGATTAAACTAGTTTAATTAGTTGTAGTTTCCTCTCCGCAAATTACGCATGCCCCTGGAGCCCAGCGGCACGGCTATGCAGGATCTTGACGTTGGAAAGGCGGATTTCGAAATGTTTGCCGTCAGGTCTTCAGCCTTTCAACCCAGACAAAGTCGCCAAGCTAATACACAGTGGAAAGAGCTTCGGATTTCTGCCAGCTCCCTCCTTGAGGATTGCGGCCTGAAACCGCTGTGCGAGCTAACCGTCCAGACGGGTAAGTCCCGTCGTTCAGCTCGCACATCATGATCTCAAAGGTGCTCTAGCACAGATTGGTGGCGCTTTTCGACACAGGTAGAAGTGGGCGTTTAATTCTGGGACAGCCGTAGCATTTCCAGGAGACATATCCTTCTTGGAGGATCTACGTGCGACTCAACATTTCCCCATTACCTGCCGAGCCTTTTCAAGCTTCAATAGACAGTCTTGCTGGGCATAATGGAGGACACGGGTTTGGGGTGAACAAGGGTAGCCTTCTCCGGTTTTAAGGACGTCGCCGCCCATAGAATGAAACTTAGGTGGCAATCAAGCTTGGATCATTTGGAAAGTCGGTTCGGTATGTTCATCCAGGCCTCTCAAGCTGCCTTCACTACGGTGTCGTGGCAAATTCGACGATATTGTTAACATTGCCCCCGCGCCGCAGCATTACCAGTCAATTAGATATCGTATTGTGTAACTGACAGCGACTAATTAGCAGACATGAGCTGGAAATGAGGCAACCCAATGTCGTGAAGTCGCACCGTGGTGAGGTCCAGCATGTGTGAAGTTGAGGCGAGCCCAGACTGAAATCCACGGAAGCCATCTTCTTCCGAAGCAAAACCTTCTTCTTGGGTGGACAACTTGACTACGGGCGACTTCTTTATTTACCCTTTGACTGCACCTCGACACGGATACCCATAACGAGTTGGCGCTCGAATTAAACCGTTCAACTAATCCTCGTCCGCGCCGTCGTGAACGTGACTGATGGGACTGGGTGATCGACATCGGGGCAGCAATATGCCTATCCTGGACAGAAGACCACCGTGGAATCCGAGGGAAAACAAACCCCTTAGTTCTCACTTTGTTCAAACACGGGGCATACTACGCTAAAAGCCTTAGCATCTTCCAGCCGTGACCAGAGCCCTGAATACCGCGTCAGTAACTTCAAGACCATTCACAAAGGATATTGCTGGCAGCTTACCTGACCCACCATCCCTCCTGAACGCCCGTGCCACCACGCTCGCAGTTGTTGACTGGCACCTTGACTATCTCGTTGCAAAGAGCCACGGAGAGAGAGTTCGGGACTGTAAAGTCATTGCGCGCCCAGAACTGAATCTTGTTGGTCCCGAACGGCGCATTGTAGCAGCCGGTCTTGGTCTGGCCAGTGGCATAACTGCCGCTGTTCCTGCACCACGTCTGGACGTATTCAAGCGCCTTTGGCTTATTGTCACCCCACGTCTTGTCGCTGCTCGAGCAAGTAGACTGCGTAGTCGGCTTGAAGCCGATTGTGCGAACGCAGACATAGGCATTAGCCCAGAGCCCGGTGCAGGCAGTGGTCAGGGACTTGTTCCACGAGATGAAGCGGGATACGGTGACACCGTTTCGTGCCGCTATCGTTGTGCACGTATCGTCGCTCGTGACAAAATAGAACTTGTCACAGTTGGGCACCATGGAGGGCTGGGTGGGAAGCGGCGTGTTGATGCCGTTGCCCGTTGTGGTGGTTGGCTTGGTGGCGGTGGTCGTCGTGGGCCGGGTGGTTGTGGTTGTAGTTGTGCTTAACCCAACAATGTGGATGCAAACCCAGTACTCCGCCCAGATGTCTATGCAGCCCGAGTTGAGCTTGTTCCAGGTGATGATCTGCTGCAGGGTGATGCCGTTGTCTCTAGCAATGTCGGCACACGTCTCGCCAGCCTCAACGAGGTGGAAGCGATCACAGTTCGTCACCATGTCAGGCTTTGTGGGCACCGGCGTCTCGATCCCATTGGTGGGCACTGTAGGCCTGGTTGTGGTGGTTGTGCTTGTCGTCCGGGTTGTGGTGGTCGGGGCCGTAGTAGCCGTCGTCGTCGTGGGCGCGGGCGGCGCAGAGACGGGCGCCTCTATGCAGTAGGAGCGTCCGACCAGGAAGTTGCCACAGCCTGCAGTGAGAGACGGGTTCTGCAGCTCCATTAGTCTCAGGCACGATCTATGTGGCACCCATTGAGGATCCAGACTTACCCAGAACAAAAAGTCTGCTACGGGAACCCCCCAGTTGCGCAACAAGTTGGTGCAAGTGACTGAGCCATCATTATCGTACCACCAGGTACACTCTGCGATGGTGTTTTCATCATACGGCATTTGCGGCTCATCGCTCAGCAGATGAAAGTCCACAGATGCGGACTGCTCTGCAGACAAGGGGCTGGCTAGAGCATGAAAAGAGCCGAATGACAACAGCAGGCTGGCCGCAAGTGCCCAACAACCTGACTGCGGGTAGAACATGATGCGGACTAGAAGAGACGATGGGGACTTGGGTGTTGGTGGTGAGATGGCCGCAACTTTGGACTGATCGGCTCAGGACCTACCACCATGACCTTATATACGTCGGGGGTAAAGTGCAAGCATGATGCTTTGGAAGGCCAGTCCCTCGAGCCAGAGAACCACGGCCGCCTACCTGGGCCTTGTCCTATCGTTCATTGGGCCGTTGTTCTCGAAGCTCGAGTCGCGCACATGCATATTCCTCGGCCTTGTAAGATTCGGGCACTGCTGTGCGGAAGCAAAGAATCGGATACAGAAATTGCCGTCTGAATCCAGTATCAGCGCCCGAAAGTTCACGAGCCTAGTGGCGGTAAGCCCGTGACCCCCTATTGTGGAAGGAATGCGAGATCTAGCCCTGGCCGTCATAGACTAAGCCCTGCAATGCACACAGTACAACACAGTACAGTGTCAACCTTGCAACTATTCACTCCACTTGCACCGGCGGGTCTCCACAATCATTGTGGACTTCCTTCGGTGCTTACCAGCTCCGGCTACCGTAGAGGCCTTAAACTCTTCATCTCGTGACGAACCTCCAGACTTGTTCTGCTGAGCGCACACTCGTGAACCTGGCCGTTGGGGGCGGGTTCAATGTTCCGAAATCTATGCTCAGGTAAGTGTGGTTGCAGGTGCCCCGGAAAGGATCAATGCCAATGCTCGCACATGCCTAATCGAGACGTGCAGTCGTTCTACACAGGCCCTGGTCACTCCTTGCGGCTCTCTTGAACACGCTTATGGTGCTTACGCTTGATTGATCCTGGCGGTGCAGATTATGCTTCTCAGTTTTTACTGGACTACAGCGGACCACGTCAGGCGTTCGTAGATATTGGGACTTCCATACACAGAAACAAGCGGTTTGGCAAAACTAAAAGACATGCCATGAGTGCACAGAAGCTACGTGGACAGTATCCGACGCCCGATGGCACAGCAGAGCTAGTGCACGGAAGAGCTGTAGCGCGCCATAATGAATTGGGCGGTGCTATCAAAAGCTGCTCGAGTAGCATACTGACCACACGGCATTATTCTGGTTCCTGAACAATAATGTGAAGTACAAGCACTAGAAAGAGCGAGGACGCGCCCCTGCAAAAGCGTTGTTCCTCTTGTTTGGGGGCCAAAGCTGCAGCTTTTGGGCCTCCAGTTAAATCTGACGGCGCTTAGTCACCAGGCAGTCTGCCAAGCCGGGTGCACAACTGGCGAATAAACATGTGGTTCTTGGACGTCCAGACTTAGAAGTACATTGCATCCTCGCTCGGCCGCTATACGGGGAAATTAAAGAGCGGCTTACCTGCAAGCCGCTCCTACTAACAATCAACAGTCATGCCGTCAGCCTTGGCGATAGCCTAGTGGTGAGATTTGTAAGTATGTAAGTACTTACGGACTTAAGGACTTTTTCCGTATCAGTCCTTATGGAAGCCACACATGGCCTGCTGGCAGAAGACATGCAAGTTTGCTTTATTTGTTTTGTCAAGCACGGAATTCAGGTCACTTTTCATGACTAGCAAATCTCATGAGCAACGATGATGCAGCCTCGGACTCTAGCGAAGCAATGTGATCATGGTCTGATTCTAAGTGGCAGCATATGCGCCAAAGTCCGATAGTTGGAGTGGCGACTGTTTGGATAGGCCCTGAAGGCCGCCTGCTTTATCATTTCCCCAAGGCTCATACGGCTTCCCCGCCGAGCCGTCAACACGTGCTCGCTCCTGTCCGCGAACCCGCACCGTCAGCAGCCCTGCAGGACCCATCACGGCCCAGCCCTGCGTCCCTGAAGTCTAGGTGCCAGTGTTGTGCACTGTGTGCGCCACAAGGATAACCAGGGATCCGCTGTCAGCTTTGATCCAACGACCAGCATGCTTGGTGAGAAAGTGACTCAATCGAGAGTGCTTCCGCGTTGTACGCGCCTGTCAGACTTGGCAAGATGAACCCCTGTCTTGCGAGCAAGCCCCTTGGTTCGCCTTCACAAAAAGTGAGACGAACCAGGCTGTCGGGCTGCGGTTCGAGCAAAAGAGACCCGGCCAAGTATGAAAAATGCTTCCGAGGGTCTTCTGGCTGCACAACGGGGCTCTGATGCACGAAGGATCAGGACGGGTGACGGACCTGGCGATACCACATATATTCTAGGTTTGCCCTCATGCCGACCGTCTTTTCGAGCCATTTCCCATCGCCTTCTCTGCCAGGCTGCTCGACTTGTTACAGCGCTCAACGGATCTGGGTCTTCAGGTATGATGAAGCCATACGCAGGCTTGCTCGCCCCTGCAGCGACGGCCCTCTTCGCCTTCTGTACTCTTTGTTCTGCGCAGAGTTCCATCGGGAACAATCGTACCCATTTTCCCACATACTTCCATCCCGAGAAGTTGTCCGAAAGTCGTTGCCCAGCCCCGTGCGGCGATGTAGGGCCGACAAGCTTCTCCTGGCCTCGCATCTTCTCCATTGCCGAGCTCGACAAGTGTGATGGCACAGTCGTTTTTGAAGCCATGGTCCGCTTTCCCATCGAGTCACCGGACAGGCAGACCGTCCTCAAGGCCTGTACGGCATCCACTGCCGACATGCGCCTCGACTCGGCCGGCTACGGCGAACCTGCTCTTAGTGGAGCTGATGTCGTGGAGTCCAACGTCGATATCGATGTTGGCTGGAACAGCCGTGCGGCATTTTCACCACAGTCTGCAACCCAGGTCGCCGATGCTGCACTCAAGCTCCAGAGCCAGGTCGCCCGGGACCCCAACAACAGGCTGAGAGCTACTTTTGCCAAGTCAAGCAAGTCAGTTGTCGGACTCTATGTCGGAGGCGAGATTCACAGGTCGTCTACCATCTCTCTCATTGGGGACTTTGTCGATCGCATCAAGCGTGGCGAAGCAGCAGGGACCCGTCAGGTCACCCAGATCTGCGGACCTACAGGCACTCGATCGTCTGCACATGTGTTCGGGATAGTGTCAGACACGGAAGGGGACCTGACCGCCGTACATGACATGATCCGAGGCTGGGCTGATGGCGAGTGCGTCACTGGTCTTCACGAGAGCTTCGTTCTGGGGAATCAGACGCTCAGCCTGGTCTCAGCCGTCCCACTCACAGCTGAATCCACTGTTGGCGGAGTGTCCAACTCGTCGGCGAGCAGCAACAGCTCTATAGCCACGAGCAGACACCACCGGCGCTTTCATGTTGGCCAGCAGTCCAGTCAAGAGCCACGCCAGAGCAAGAAACGTGCCAATTCATGTCGGGCTGCCAAGGTTGGCTTTGGTGACAGCTGCTGGTCCGTCGCGGAGGAGAAGTGTGGCGTCACGCTGGGCGATCTCTACAAGTACAACAATATCGATGCTTCTTATTGCCGCAACATGGCCGTTGGCGACGACCTATGTTGCTCAGAAGGAAGCGCCACTGACGGCCTTACGAGTAAGTCACTGTCCTTGATTTGGACCACCTCAGACGCGACACTAATCAGAACCTTAAGCAGTCACGGCGGAGGATGATGACTTCGAATGCAAGTACACCATCATCGAGCCTAACGACCTCTGCGGGGCGATTGCATCTCGGTGTAACATCCCCGTCAAGAAGCTGGTTGAATGGAATGGCGGTGACGACAAGATCTGCAACAATCTTATACCAAAAGAGCCGATTTGTTGTTCTCTAGGGAAAAAGCCCGACCTGCGCCCACAGCCCCAAGAGAACGGAGACTGTGCTGTCTACGAAATCCAGCCCGAAGACGGCTGCTGGTTGATCGCCGACAGATTCCACCTCACACAGGAGGAGATTCATAAACTCAATGTCGGCAAAACCTGGGGCTGGTCTGGCTGCGGCAGACTGTTTCGTGATCAAAAGATTTGCGTCAGCACTGGCAATCCTCCCATGCCTACGCAGATCGAGGACGTCACCTGCGGTCCACAGGTCAAGGGCACCGTCAGGCCAGCAGACGGAACAGCCATGACCGATCTAAACCCGTGTCCTCTCAACGTGTGCTGCTCAGGATGGGGCTACTGTGGACTGGTAAGTATATATTTTCGCTAGAGAATGCGGGTCGCAGACCACATAGGCTGATGGCCCAACGCAGACTGAAGAGTTCTGTATCGATACTAGTATCGACGATACTCCCGGCACAGCTAGACCTAACACGAATGGGTGTCTCTCAAATTGCGGCAAGATCGAGATCACCAATAACGATAGGCCCCCCGCGACCTTCATCCGCGTGGGTTACTTTGAAGGGTGGAACGGGGAGCGTCCGTGTCTTACTATGGACGCGACCGATATCAGCGACACCATCACGCACATTCATTTCGCATTCGGCGATATCAGCGAGAATTACGTGCCTAGCATAGCCCCTGATGTCCTGGACCAGTGGCAGAAGTTCCTCACGATTACCGGCAAGAAAAAAATCATCTCGTTCGGAGGATGGGCATTTTCGAACGAGCCAGTGAGTCAAATCTGTCCCGAATGCGGAACGTGAGTTATTACTGACATATCTGCAGGGAACGTCGCACATTATACGCCAAGGCGTCAAACCAGCGAACCGCCAAACCCTTGCCAATAACATCATCAAATTCGTCCTCGATAACGACCTGGACGGTGTCGACTTTGACTGGGAATATCCCGGTGCATATGACATTGACGGATCCGACATGGGAACAGCCGAGGATGGAGCAAACTACTTGAAGTTCCTGACGCTCGTTCGCAATGGCTTGCCCAAGAGCTCCCTCGCTATAGCGGCCCCGGCATCGTATTGGTATCTCCGCCACTTCTTGATAGCCGAAACCGCCAAGGTCCTCGACTACATTGTGTACATGACCTACGACTTCCATGGCCAATGGGATGTAGGCAACAAGTGGACGAGGTAAGCCCCACTCTCATACCTTTCGTCTTACAGCATCTCTGATGGGTGCCACCGTGATAGCCCAGGCTGCGACAATGGAGACTGCTTGAGATCGCACGTCAACATTACCGAGACCATGGACGCGCTGGCCATGATCACCCGCGCTGGCGTTCCCGCCAACAAGGTCCTCGTAGGTATCACAAGCTACGGACGAAGCTTCAAGATGGCAGACCCCAACTGCTCGAGTCCAAGTTGCAAGTACTTGGGAACTCGACTTGACTCGCCGGCGAAGAAGGGCAAGTGCACAAACACGGGCGGCTATCTTGCTAATGGCGAAATTGACGCTATCAAGAGCGGCTCGGCCCCGTTCCGAGAACTCTACGACGGCGGATCCGACTCCGACATTCTGATCTACGACGGCGTCGAATACGTCGGATACATGACCGATAAGACAAAGCAGCGCCGGATCAACCTATATAAGAGCCTCAACTTCGGAGGCGCCACCGACTGGGCAGTGGACTTAGCCGGAGACATCAGCGTGGGAGACAAGAGCAACGTTGTTTACATTGGGACGGAGGTGTATACCCAGCACTCCATGGGTTGCACCGCACCTTGCACGATTGTACTCGCCCCAAGCCCTTTACCCTCTACTACAACAATCTCCATTCCGCCATACACGACGTCGTTGCAAGTCGGCACTACCACGACCACTATCACCATAAGACTGCCTGTGCAAACCATCTCAGAGGTTCCCTTTTACAACATCAATATTTCTTCTAATGCCGGCACTCAGACAGTGGTTCAGCCATATCCCAGCATCACTATCGACCCAGTCGGTATGCCTGTGCGTTGGGTAGACGCCGGGACGACAAAGACCACTACGAGAACGGTCGTGCTCCCCCCATGGCCGCAAATCACTAAAGGTCCACCACAGGGCTGGAAGGGGACTGATTCGCCGTCAAACATCCCGTCAAACATCCCGTCAAGCACGGGCACCGATATACCTCTTCCGCCGAGACCGACTGCGCAGGAGCCGATAGTTACCTGGGTGGACTGGTTTGACATCCCGGCGGCTATCGAGCCTGTGACCAACCAGCCAGGTGGCGGTGGTGACGAAGACGATGAAGGTGGCGATGATAATGACGACGGCGACGACGATAACGACGATGACGACGATTTCGCATTCATTCCGTGCAATCTGTGGTTCTTTTCTGTAAGCATTCCCACTAGTACCAAACTCGCACCGAGTTCTTATAGACATAGACAAAGCATCTAACCACAACTTATGTCCAGTCGTGCATAAATCTCGGGGGCACCGAGATTACTGGGTGGAAATTGAGGCTTCCAGAAGGAATCGTTGGCCCGTAAGTGAACCCCACACGACTCTACGAGACGTCCGTGATATGCAAGTCTGCGCGATACTTTGCGCCGAAGGAAGCCTCTTGTGTATTCATGGCGATGCGTCGAAGTCGAGAGCAAAGTAACTAATGCTCCTGTGCTATAGTGCACCGCCGCCTCCTGATCTGATTCCCCTACCACCGGGCTGGCGTTGGAAGACACCTCGCCTGCCGCCTTGGCCGAGACTGAGGTGAGTCCTATGATTGTGTCCTTGACATTGTGGAGACTGCCCTGCATTTGCTCACTCGCCAGACAGGATCGGGAAGGGGTCAAAGCCCGAGGTGATACCAGAGGAGCCGCGGCCCTGCGAGCGGCAGTCGGCGTCAGCGTGCGCCCAGGTCACTTCGTTTGAGTGGGACGACCAAGGTACAACCACCGTGACGACCACGTCGAGCGTGTTCGAAACCTGCGCGACTGTATACGGCTGTGCCGTTAGCGACTACGAGGAGTCGTCGACGATCGACGACGGTTCATGCCAGGTTATGAAGAGGACCATGCTGGCACCCACAGCAACTCAGCCTCCTACTACGACAATCGCACCCCGCCTGACAGCTGCAAGCAGCGATGCCGCGCCCACGCGAGAAGCTGAGGACCGCAAGCCGCTGAACACGCGACATGTCGGCGACTCTCCTGTAGACTTGCACCGGCGAGCTACCGAGGACGACGAGGCCTCGTGGGACGATGACAAAAGTCTTGCAGACGGCTGGGATTGCGCGCGAGACGACGTTATTCTTGTCCAGAAACTTTACGAAGATGCCAACCCCGCCAACCAAAGACTTGCAGATCGGCTCACGAGGCTCTCCGAGGCTCCACGGAGAAGGACCACGGTCACTCGTGTTCAATCCAAGAGGAAGCACTTCACGGCGTTTTGGTACATTTCTGGGCTCCCAAGACCTCTGCGGGCCAAGCTCGCGCGGATGAACGCGGTAAGTGGCTTCGCAAGGCCACTTTCAGGGCTGAAGGCTGTGGCCGAACGATCATTTCATCTTGGAAAGGCGCGCAAGACTGACGATGGATAATTAGGTCTCGATGATGACGAATATTAGCCCTGGCTCCGCAGCACGCGATGTTAGCAGAGCCACAACAACACGCAGGTCGGCAGAACGGCCAGAGGCAGTGTATAGAAACCAAACCCGAGTGGCAAACCTTGCAGAGGATAGCTCAATTGAGCAAGACGTTGCCCAATCGAGCACGAGCGATCGAAAGGGCAATCATTGGGGAAAGCGAGGGGTAGTTGCACTCAAGGAGTGGTCCAAATCGCAAATTTCTGCACCCAGCATGGCAGATGATTGGGCGACGAATCCGGACTTCACCCTTAACCCAGGAGCTACAGAACTAGAGTCGGAGCACCGGTACTATTTCCACGAGTCAGCTGGGCGCGGCCAGTACATTTATGTCCTCGAAGCATGCATCGACACGAGCCATCCCGAGTTTAGTGGCGCTGACATTGCCACTCCGTTGCGGACAAGCCTCTTTGGGGACTGGGATGGCATTGATTGCACTCACGGCACAGAGGTAGCATCGATGGTGGTGGGCCTCAGTCTGGGGCTCGCCAGGAACGCAAAGCTGGTGCCCGTGCATTTTGGGGCCCCGCGAGGTTTTCACGACCCTGCCCATTTCATACGCTACATCGAAGCTCTGGTGCTGGTTCTCGACGACATCCTGGACAACAAGCAAGGCAGAGCAGTGGTGAGCATGTCCCTCGCGGTTAGGGAGAAGAACGAGTGGGAACATCTGAAAAACGTCATGCGTAAGTTGTCTATCTTGCCCCAGCCCGTGTCGCTCTATCCAGCCCCGTCGCGCCGAGAGTGTCAGCACAATCGCAGAGACGGCATAGACGATGATGTATAGAGGACTCATCTAATCTGATCTCGGTCGACACGACAGTTTATGTGCTCAAACAGGTCGCAGAGGCCAAAGCGGTTCTAGTTGGAGCTGCCGGCAATAGCCGCATGGATGCCGCAGACCCTCTGAACAGCGACGAAGTGCTGCCGATGTTCTTCATGGGCGAGACGGACCTGGCGCTCTCCTCCTTTGTGGTCGGGGCGACCGATGGGGCCGGCAGGGCAGCCCATTGGAGCCAGCGCTTCAGCGACGACGACGTGAGTCGCCTCATCTGGGCGCCAGGCGACCGTTTGATAGTCCCAACACCAGACGATTGGTATCAACTGGCTTTCGGCACATCACTGGCAGCCCCCAAGGTCGCCTCTCTCGTCGCCTTGTATCGCGGCCTGCCCTCGCGATGGCAGGCTCAACTAGAGAGCCCGGAGATCGTCAAGCGGCTGGTTGAAACACTCAGTCGGCCTCTGCAGATCAGTGACGGGCCATGGGCCAATGCCAACCCGGGAGCCCCATGGGTGCCTTTCGTGTGGTCAGGTCAAGTCCTCCAAAAGTCATGTTTGATCGACGGCGATGACTTGACATACAAAGGGAAGCCGGCATGCCCTAAGCTGCCGGATGATCTAGCTCAGCTGCCGCCGTGGTCGCCTCCCTCTGGCCCCGACGGACCAGGTACCGGGGGTGAGATAGGTGGCATCCCGGTGCCCGGGCCCATCACGTGGCAGCAGGGGCCGGCCCAGCCGATTTGCGCCAATAGCCAGAGCAGATCGACTAAGTGCGGCCGGCTTTGCTCTAGTAGCTACTACTGCGGGAAGCTCCCCACAGGTCTCCCTCCAGACTTCATCGAGCCTGTTTCAACTAGCACGAGACTGACCACGACACCGAGACCGACATCGACCAGCACGAAGACGACCACAGTCCATCCACCGGAACCAACTCGCGAACCAGCGACTTTCTATCTGGTGCAGAACTACACGAGGTGGTCGGACACCCGTGGCAGTTATTTTCTGCTTGCCATGCCATTGTCTGATTTTGGGGATTGTGATGCGCCAGAAGTTATTGAGGCCGGGCTCAATACGGGCGCCGGCACCAATACATATCCCTGGCAGGCATTGTCATTCGACGCCAAAATTTGCGGCCAAGAGATGCACTTCCAGTGGAAGGGGTCGGCCCCAGGTGACTACGATGTCCTCGACTCGCACTCTAGCAAACACCTCGGTACCTGCACCAAAGGCCCGTCTGTGATAAAGGAATGCACCAGGCGCGGTAATCTTGAGACATATACACCAGTCTATGGTTGTACCGGTGCTTGCTAAGCATTAGCAGTGAGATGCGTAGTCATCATCGTGGCTGTTTCAATAGAGCAATGTCTGGAAAACAAACTTCTTCTTGGCGTGCCGACCAAACCGATATTGCCGAGGTTGACATCGTTTGTCCTGTAATAGAGGCATCACGATCGGAATTTTGGTGATGCATCAGACTTTGTTTTTGACTAGTCATTCTAGAGCTCCGTATTGTTAGTGTGAGGATTGATTCGTTCAGTGGTGACACTGCTCCAGTGGGACACCTGCGGCTGGCAGCTTCTGAATGTGGACCAAGGTTTTCATCCAGTGTGACATATCACCGACAGCAAATACACAAAGCCATAGAATTGATTATCGACGAAATCCTTTTTGGTATAGTTCTCTTAAAGGTGATATCACATCTATAACTTCCAGTCATGCCTAGTGGGAGCATAGTATGATACGCAGGCATGAACGAGGTAATATGTTGGTGCGTAAGCCGGAGAATCGGAGTTTAAACCATCTCATCTATAGTAAATAGAGCGCCGCACCTGAGCTATCCTGGTAATATCTGAATCACTTTAAAGAGAGGAAAAATAACGAAGCTTTACGCCTAGATGGAAGTCGGATCATCTATACTGCTGCTAATCACTGGCACATCGAGTTTATTATGTGCTAGATAGCTCGGTAAGTGCATAAATTTGCAAGTGCCAGCATTGCTAAGAAGCCCTATCTATATGTGCTCCGCTTCACTTGTCGTACAGGTCTCTGTCCCGCTCTTGACACGCGCGACACGCTCGGCTATCCGTCTGCACAAGCTTCTAGACCCACACCGACCCTGGCGAAACTAGCCCTGGACGGGGATGGGGGTCTGCGGCTGAATGCATCTAGACGGACGCACGGACAACGGGTAACCTGTGTCGCACCATAAAGTCTCTTCCACTTCAGTTTAATTCAGAATGGCGGCACCAGCCACAAATGGTAAGAGGTGGGCAACGCGAGCTTAATCGCCAATTTTCCTCAGCCGCAGTTTTCAGCTGTCGGGGTTCTCTGTGTGTAGTTCCTGTTTCCAACGACCTGAGAAATAAATGATTCGAGTCTCCTAGTCTTGCCTTTATCCTTGTCCTCAATCTCTCGCCTATCGCTTCGCCTTACGAAAACGGACAGACAAGATGCGCGCGGTTTCCCTGGTCGTGGTCGTTGCCGCCGCCACGGCGGCAGCCCAGTCCGTTGGAAGCGTGCCAACTTGCGCGGTAAGTCCTCCCTAGCCAATGGCACAATGCCGAACTTCGATAAAGTCAACGGGAAAATAAAAAGAAGTCATGGATGCGGTTCCTGGAGAATGGCAGATTTAGTTCCTGACATGTTCTTCTGTTGTCACATAGGCCTCTTATACGGACCAAGCCTCTATCTTATTGACCGGCTGTAGCTCACTCGACGCTGCCTGTATCTGCAAGCCCGATAATATCAATGCTATAACGCTATATCTCTTTCTATCCTGTGACCAATCCGATTATGAACAGGCTGTAAGCTCAATCAACGCTATATGCTCGGCGGTAGGACCGGCGCCGTCTTCGAGCAGCGGCCCCGCTACGACCGGCCCGCCGCCGTCTGCGGTCGCAAGCAGTAGTTCCAGCGTAGCGACGACAACGACAACGACAAGACCTCTCACCACTGCAAGCACGGGTTCGACTCCCACGTCGAGCCCTGCGTAGAGCTCGCCCACTAACAACAATAACCCATCTACTTCAACCAGCGTCGCACCGAGCGGGCAGACAGGTAACGGCGGTACTAGCAGTAGCAGCAGCAGCAGCAGCAGTAGCAGCGGCCCAAGCGGTACCATGATCGGGGCCATCGTAGGCGGCGTGGTTGGCGGCCTTCTCCTCGGAGCTCTGGCCGTATGGATCATGATGCGGAGGCGCGGATCCAAGACGGCCGCGTCTAGGGAAGAGCAGTAAGACCATTAATAGCCGCCGAGGGTGCCCGAGCTGGCGGGACAGCCAGTGAGTGAGAAGCTCGCGGACACGACCTGGACGTACCCGGCCAGCGCCGACTCGCCCGCCTCACCCCACGAACTCGGCCACACGGAAGATACCCCGCCACCGTGGCAACCTTACTACCACTATTTACCGGCAGAGTTGGGCAATATAGCCTCGGGGCCGAGAGAGCTTAGGTCGGTGCCGGTTATGCTACCGGGGCTGGGCACTATTAGGGAAGGGCCTGCTGCCGAGCTGGGCTCGGAGTATAGGGAGGGCCGGTAACATCCGGGATAATAACGCTAAGTTCAAATATAGCAACTAGGAGCTCGATTTGTCGATAACTTTATATTTGGCCTCTCCGAGGCCAGGTGTAACGGCCGACCAACAGGGGATGTTGTTTGGGCACGGAAGAAGCACAAACAACTAGGCCACAGGATCAGGCCAAAGACAAGGACGGATCATGTGGCAACGCCGTCACAGGTTTCTTATGTAAGCACGATAAGGATAAGGGACGCGGGTACGGTACCACTGGTCATGCATCTCATGCATGACCGTCACGAACGCCAAGACTGACAGTCACGACCAAATCGCCATGACCGTCAGCCCGGCATGTTATGACCACGATGAAGGACAAAGGATATATAGATGCGAAGGATCCCTAGATACACAGTCATTACCTTTGTACTTCAGCGATCAATCTAAGTATCAGTTTCATCACACACTTGAACTAGTCACTCAATTGCCGAAACTGGTATCTCTTCCAAGAGACACGACAAACCCCAAGAGTACACGCCAGCAGAGGAAGTGATATTGCAAAGGCTTTCCCTACCTTTCAGAACAGCAACCCCAGCGCCCTGCCAGACGGCTGACCCCGGAGGCAGGATCGTGACACTACCCCCTTATTTCCTCGCCCCTCTTTTCTATCTTAACTGAATTCACTTCCTCCCCCCACCGTAGCAGCCGCCCTTCCCGTACGTGTCTTACTACCGCCTCCACTCCCTACGCTTTACTCCCCGCTCTCTCACAACTTTTTATAATTATTACGGCTCCGCCGGCCCTGGCTCGGGCATATTTGCGCTTCGCGCCCCGGGTTACGGGCCCCTCCTCCCTAATCGCACTCTCTAACCCCAAATTTATAACCCCAGCCCTGTCCTGTAATTCTGCTACTCTCCCTTCTCCGCTCTGCTTCTCCGGACTTATTATATATTGTTGTTTCATATTTCCTTGTTATGTTCTCCATTATATTGTTCTAATTAAATTATCGGCAACTACTCCTGCCTTTCTATGTTTGCCTTTGACTTAATAAAGTCCTCGTTTTATTTCAACAATTATTAATCCCATAATTCTTGCCATATAACCCCTTTTACGTCCATCTGTTTTTATCCTCCCTTCTTATCCTATAATTATCGCCCTGTTAAGACTTAATAATTCCGCGGGTTAACTCCCGGGCCCTTATCTCTTACCGTTTTGCAACAACTTAAACCCTCATATCTGGAACTATACGCTGTACTGCGAATATAAACGAACGTAAATCTTATTTTATTTTCTAAAATTCTTCTCTATTTCCTAATTACATATCCGCCGCACTACCGCCTCCCAAACCGCAAGACCGTTTGTCATTCGGCTGCCGAGCACCTCTCGCGGTTGTCCCACCCACTCCTGCCACGCCTCCGCGCCTTGGGGCAACTCTCCTATCTCCTCCTCCACTATCTCTCGTATAATCTCATCCTTCTGTGCAAGTAGAACGACTGGTAGTACCTTATCGTTCCACCGACACTTGTCCTCCCCATCGGGCTCCCCATCGGGCTCCCCATCGGGCTCCCCATCGGGCTCCCCATCGGGCTCCCCATCGGGCTCCCCATCGGGCTCCCCATCTCCCACCTGTGCCATCTCTGCCCTTTTACACCACTCCAACCCCAGCCCGCACCGCCAGCAGCAAACGCCCTCTCTGAAATTTACCTCCCGCCGCCACTGGATGTAATCTCGCTTCTTGATCGCCCGGCACCTCTCCAAACCGTGCTGGAACACCCGCCTCTGTGATTTTGGCGCTCCGAATAGACGCCATCGTATATAGCATACCGCGCACCGGTCCAGCCCTTCCACTTCCTCCAGCCACTGCTGTAATCGGCCTCTCCTCCTGTACCCTTCCTTCCTCTCCTCCTTGAGCCGGTTCGTGTGCCCCTCGACATCGCTGTGGTCCTCTTCAAGCCGTAGACTACCCTCATTTTTTCCCTCTTCTTCTCCCTCCTCTTCTTTACCTTCTCCTTCTCCCTCCTCGCAGCGGTCACATCGAACGGCTTCGAGCATTTCGCAGTCGTCCCCACCAGCCCCGTCCATAAAAGCGCCCAAGACCCTTCGCCTACACCCTTTCGTCTCGATAAATTGCTCCATCGCCACTCGGTTAGCACGCTCCACATCCGTCTCGCCACCCTTGTCTGCCCTGCCTCCATCCTCCTGCTCCCCACTGTCTTGTATAACGATAATGGCCTCGACAACCTCGCCATCCCTTCGCCCACCCCGTCCTGTCTGCTGTACGTAATCGACGAGCCCGTACGGCTGCTCGGCGTGGATAATGATGCATATTCCCGGTATATCGACACCGGTACCGAGCCCGGTTGTTGCCGTGATCCATCGTGACTGTGAGCTTCCGTTCGACCACTTCTCTAGCGCATCTCGCCGCTCCACGGCTTCCATCCCGCTGTGGTAGTACGAACATCCGACACGCCCCGCTAGCTCCTTACAGCTCTTCTTCGAGCGGCAGTATATAACTCCCTTCTTATCGCCCTGTAGTGCCTGGATCTGAGCCGTCTCCTCGACAAGACGTACTACCTCGTTCTCGACCGCTTTCTTCTTCCCCCCTCCTGGTCGTACTCCGCCTTGTACCCGGATGACGGAATAGCTAATATTTTTCTTGGCCGTCGAAGCCCGGACAATCTCTGCATCGCTGGCGACCATCTGCTTGCGAAACCACCCCTCCAGCTTGACCGGGAGCGTTGCTGTGAGAAGAATAAGCGGCTGGTCAAACCGATGCAGCTCTCTGATCCGACCAAGCCTCTCACGGTAGCCCACGTCCGTGATAATCGTGTGGCATTCGTCTACGAAAATCCGTCGAAGTAGCCGCCGCTCCCGTAGACTGTCGACGTATATCATAAACTCGTTGTTGCTCGCCTGGTCTGCGCTGACGACTACTAGATTTGCCAAGCGAGCCGGCGGGTTGGCGTCTCTCCCTTCATCCTCTGCAGACGTCCACCGCATACAGCTGATCCCGGCGGACCGTGCCCGAGCGAGAATGTCATCCATTAGTGCCACGAACGGAACGACAACGATGCTCACCCCCCCGTGTACAGCCTGCACTGACGGGATCATGAACAGCAGACTCTTTCCCGCGCCCGTGGGGAGCACGACAATAAGAGCTCGCCCGCCCCGTAGTTGTAGAACCTGCCGCATGGCCGTCTGTTGCTCGTCCATCCGCCAACGCGCTCCTTGCCCGATAATCGTGTTTAGCCCCTTCTGGATTCGGCTGTCGATTTCTTCCAGATTCGCGTTATGACTGGGGCAGACTGCCTCCGTTATATGTCTTGTTCGCTTCCGTACTGTCGGGCTCTCCTCGTCCTGGTCGAATCGTAGCCGTTTCCGGTTCCAGCTGTTCCCGCTCTGGCTGCCTCTTCCATGGCTCTGCTGCTGCCGCTGCCGCTGATGCTGACCATGACCACGCCTGCTCCACGGCTCCGGCGTCCTCTTTAAAGCTTCCTCCTCCTCTACGCCGGTTAAGCTGAGATACTCGTGCCATAGCCGGCTGATCTCCCGGTAGTTGGCGATCATCTCCGGCTGGAGCTGACCCGGGAACTGGATGTTGACGGCGTAGTGTGCTCTGGCGATTGCACTACTATGTGTCGCTTGCAGATCCCAGATAAGCTCCGTGCGGGACTTGCCCTGCCGCTCGCCTGTAACCTCGTTGACCTCGTCTCCGTCCGAGCCAAAGTCCCCGTCTGCTGCCCCGATCTCGAGTTGCTGCTGCTGTACAACTAGCCCTCGGATCGTCCGGCCCAGCTCGATTGCGATATGTCGGTACCCTGCCATCCCGATTTCGACTCCGATATGCGTGCCTACTACTGCGCGAAGCTCCTTGCTAAGCTCAACTGTCCCCCAGCGCCCCTTCCGTCCGTCCTTCCATAGCCACTCGGCTAGACTATCGGACGGAAGTCGCCCTCCCGTGTGCGCGAGCAGCATTTTCTCAAACGGCATAAGCCAAGCGACGAACACCACAAGTAGCTTGCCGATCCGCTCGGGAAGAAAACGGGCAATTTTACGCCCGTAACCGCGGATCGCCTTGGCCTTGTCCCGATCGGTTATAAGCATTACCTACCCGTCGTGAACGTACACACTCCGGGGGAGCTGCTTCGTATCACAATACCGAACGCTTGTGATCTCCGGCCCTCACCCGGGCTACCCACCCCATATATGAGTAGCTAGCATGAACTTGCCTTTCAGCTCAGCCAGCCATCCAAGCCACTGTCGCGACTTCTCCCGGTGGTACTATGTCCTCTATTGCGACCATAGTTCCGCCTTGACTAGTATTGCGACTACCCGGGGCCCTGTCTGTAGCCATGCGTTCCTGGGATTCGTAGCGAACAAGCTATTATAACCCTCGAACATCATACTGTCGTAGATCTTTGTAAGCTCGACCTTGCCGAGTAGTGCAGCTCCCTCGCCGTAAACTAGCTTATCCAAGCCGGTCTCGAGCTCGGAGACTAGCTTCTGCGCCATATCGCGGAATTCCTGGACCTCAATGCGCTGACCGAGATAGCTGAGTACTCGCTTGCCGTCCTCCCACATAATCCTCGCTATACCTCCCTCCTTGTGGCGAAAGCCCTTTCCGAGCGTCATCCATCTCGTAATCGTGCTAAACGGGCTATACGAGCCGTCCGCGATCCAGCGCTGGTACCCATCCCGGAACGTGTCGAGATCTTCGGCGCATATGCTCTCCTGCTCTTCCTGTTCCGCCTTAGCCTCGTCCAGCCCGCCCCCTTCGCCGCCATAGCCTTCTGCCGCTACCTCCCGCCGGATGGGGATATGACCGAATAGATGCTCCAGTAGTAGTACGCGACTACACCACGCCAGTCCGGCCAGTGTTCCTGTAAACTCGCCGGGAGCTCTCCACTTCGCCCGTGCGGGGTCGATAGCCAATACGGCAGTGAAATGTAGAAGCGGGTTCTTGAAGTGGTCCACTATAACCTGTTGCGTAAGTGACGAGATGCAAAATGTGAAGACCCGTGCATCTAAGTCCTCGTCCCGCTCCGTGTCCCTGGGAGCTATAAGCCCTCCCTCTCTACTGCTCGCGCTACTACTAAGCGCATCGACTAGATTCGTGAGGTGTGCAGTCACTTGGCCTCCATCTGGGGAGATGGCGTGTCGGCATTCGATTCGACGGCAGATGAGGACGTGGTATTCTAGATCGGCGTAGAGTTGCAAGTACGTGAAGACCTGGTCAGGACTACTATCGTCTTCCGGCCTTGTAGCTGGCGGGACTGGCGATCGGTTCCGCATCGTCGTACTGCAGGTCGTCCTCGTAGTACCGGCCTTCTGGACTGTCGATGGGTCGTATCTGGGGAAGAACTGGGGCAAAATTGGGGCTAAGAGTGGACTCAAATCCGCTGGGAAAAGGGGCTGGAATGAGATAGATCTGCTACGTGCACAGACATTTCGTAGGACATGACATGTCCACGGCGAGAATGAGCAAGACTTCACAATATGCAGGGATGCCCGTTGGAAATGTGGGGCGCGTGAGCCCCTAGGTTTTCACTTAAAAATGCCCTGGAATAAGACAGTAGGGGCATATTTGTACAGTACTACTTAAGGCTTGAAGCCATCGTGACGTTTTTCATAGCATGGAGCCACACATCCATCACTCAGCTTCACCAATCCGACTTGATTTTCCACCCTATTGAATTCCTGCGCTTCTGCACCCGTTCTTGTACGCAATTGACTGACAATGCCATGATCAGAGATTCCCTCACAAGTGTCGCGTCAACAGGGCGCTGTTGATGCGGCTGGCTCCCCCCTCGAAAATCTGGTTTGGCCCCCTATCTGGGAATGCCCTCACTCTGGCCCAGGGCCAGAGTGAACCTCGCCGGAAACACCGCCGAAACTGGCAAGCGGTGAACTCCCTTCGGTCGTGGTGGTTGTTTTGTCCCCGATCAGGAGAACCCTCATCCGCCCCAGGACAGTATCGTATTCTAAGGCTATATAAGCTAGTATGAAAAGCCCTAACGAACCCAGGTTGGTAGTATTAATTATAGAAGACTGGTTAGTACTCTCTAGTATTGGATACAAAGCCAAATCATAGATATAGTCCGACCCTACTATATAAATAACAGGTTATACGCTCTAGGTTGCGTCCGAAGCTTTACCGTAGGAAGTCTATAACTTAAAGGGGTTTATAAATGTCCTAATATTCTCGACGGTTATAATAGAGTGTCCGTTAGTAGTCGTAACTACGAAGTTCTCTATAGTAAGATTTATAAAGCTTAATATCGCTATAGGTGGAATATATAGTTAAAGATAAATAGATTACTTTAGAAGGATTTAAGGTAGGTCTAAATAGTAAGAAGTTTAGAGAGCGACGTATGGCCTTGGGAGTACCGGGGAATATGGATGGCTTATATGTTATATAGTCTCGAGAATATATAGTTATTGTTGCGTAGGGGTCACGTTTTACTCCTAGATACATTAACCGCGGGACTTGGGAGCTAACTAGGTTACCCGAGCTCGTAACGGTCTAAGAGTATACTTCCTCGAACTACCTCTAACGCGCGTTTACTGTCACGATCCTGCCTCCGGGGTCAACCGTCTGGCAGGGCGCTGGGGTTGCTGTTCTGCAAGATAGGTAAAGCCTGTACAATAACAACTAACTCTCTGCTGTCGTTCTCTCTGTGGGGTTGTCGTGTCTCTTGGAAGAGATACCAGTCTCGGCAATTGAGTGACTAGTTCAAGTGTGTGGTGAAACTGATACTTAGATTGATCGCTGAAGTACAAAGGTAGTGACTGTGTATCTAGGAGATCCTCCTTCTATATACCCTTTGTCCTTCATCGTGGTCATGACCCTGACCCCGATGGTCGCGGCCGGGTCACGAATCTGGTCCGGATGGTCATGCATATATTGATGACCATCTTTCTTGGCGTGGTGTCGGTCATGCAGATATGCATGACCGGTACGTACCTTCCTTATCGTCCCTTATCGTGCTTACATAAGAAACCTGTGACGGTGCTGCCACATGATCCGCCCTTGTCCTTGGCCCGATCCTGTGGCCTAGTTGTTTGGGCTCTTCCTTGCCCGTAACAAACATCCCCTGTTGGTTGGCCGTCACATTTACTTAATAAGTAACCGTTCGTAGCCCTCCAAGAGACCCAAACTGGTTTAACACGTGAGCTGTTAGCTACCGGCTTCTAAGAGGCCGCATGGGCTCGTAATGGTCCAATAGTATGCTTCCTCGAGCCGCCTACGAGGTATACTTGCCGAATAAGTAGCTATTCGTGACCCTTTAATAGACCCAACCTGGTTTGAGACGTGAGTCTATTAGCTACCGGCTTCCAAGAGGCCGTATAGGCTCGTGATGGTCTAATAGTATGCTTCTTTAAACCGCTAGCGTAACGACGAGACGTTAGAGCTAAGATTGGAAGTAGCCGCCCTCGGGTAAACGTGTCACGATCCTGCCTCCGGGGTCAACCGTCTGACAGGGCGCTGGGGTTGCTGTTCTGCAAGATAGGTAAAGCCTGTGCAAGATCAACTAACACTCTGCTGTCGTTCTCTCTCTGGGTTGTCGTTCGTGTCTCTTGGAAGAGATACCAGTCTCGGCAATTGAGTGACTAGTTCAAGTGTGGGTGAAACTGATACTTAGATTGATCGCTGAAGTACAAAGGTAATGACTGTCTATCTAGGAGATCCTTCTGGCTCTATATATCTCTTTGTCCTTCATCGTACCCGTCGTCCTGCGACACCGTTCGGTCGCATGCCGACAGTTTGTTGTCGCAAGACCGACGGATGGTGGTCGCCGTGCGACCGTTCATCGTCGGCTGCTGACGTAAGGTGGGTGCTTACATAATGTGTTCCCCGCCAGCCTTCGCTGGTCCGCCCTTGTCCCTGGCCTGATCCTGCGGCCTTGTTTGTGCTGGGCTTGTTTGTTACCCCAGCCCCAAGCAGTTCCCCTGTTGGTCGGGTCGTCACATTATCCCCCTTCCCTCCTAGGCGCTGTCCTCAGTGACATAAGAAAGGTGCGGCCCCGCGACCCGACGTCCCGGCCTTCTTTCCTTCTTCAACGCCAACCATGCCGCCTTCGTCGGACTCGGACACTGAAACGAAAAGCCAAGAGTCGCGGGACCGAGCTTTTCGAACGTGGGATGGTGGAGTTGGATCGGGAGGACGGTCTGTTGCCGGCGCTCGACGGCCACGAGCGGGAGCTGGTGGGCGAGTCGTCGACGATGGGTGTCCCTCCTGATTTCGACTGGTCGTCTGTTGGTGTCGACCCTTCCGCTTCGTCTGTCGTGTTGGACCTCGGGGGTACTCGTACCCAAGCGTCTTCAGCGCCTGGTCCGCCCTTGCTCGATACGGGGGGTCCCAGTTTGTCTTCAGCCAGAAGTGGATGAGTTGTTCCCTACAGAGGGTGAGTCTGTCTTCTGGTTCCCAACTGTTTTCTTTGTGTGTTCCTGGTTCCCATTCCACGTGGTACTCCGTGTGCCCTACGTCTCGATAGTCGAGGATTTTCTCAACTTCGTACGTCTGATACTGGTCGTCTGGTTTTTCTTGGATGGTGGCGGATTTGATCGCCATCCGTCCCTTGTGTTTCTGCCGTGTCCAGTTCCATGGTTGCTCTTGGAAACTTCGTGGCCGGTTGTCCCACTCGCGGAGGAGTTCCTTGCAGTTCGTGAGGTTCTTCCTTGGTTCCCAAGTGTTTTCTGAGTCATCGTATCCTGCCCATTTGATGAGGTACCATCGGGTTCCCTTGCTAATCTTGTCGTCTAGGATCCTTTCGACTTCGTATTCTTGGTCTGGTTCGACTTCCACGTTCTTCTGGAGTGGTGTGTCGGCGTGTGCTGGTTCGAGGAGAGAGGTATGGAAAATTGGGTGGATCTTCATTCCCTTTGGTAGTGAGAGTTCGCAATTAAGTGGTCCCAAAACCTTTTTGACGCGGAATGGTCCGAGTTTCTTGAAATCCAGTTTACTGCTTGGTCGTTTTGTTTTGATGTTCTTGCGTAGCAGGTAAACTTTGTCCCCCTCCTTATAGGTCGGTCCCTTCGACCTTTTCTTGTCGTAGAGTTGCTTGTGCTTCCGTTGGCGCTGAATGACCAAGTCTTTCAGTTCTTTTTGAAGGTGTACAAGCTTCTGGGCCTCGATGAAGGCCTCCGGAACCATCGTATCGCGTAGCGCGGTAGGTTCCTTGGGATCAAAGCCCTTGTTCGCGAAGAACGGGCTAACTCCCAGATCTTCGTTCGTCGAGGTGTTGTACGCGTATTGAGCCGTGGGGAGGTGCTCGACCCAGTCGGACTGGTCTTCTTTGATGTAGCACCTAAGGTATTGTTCCACGTTTTGGTTCATACGCTCGGTTTGTCCGTCTGTCTGCGGGTGGAATGCCGTAGACATGCTGTGTTGGATGCCGATCTGGCTCATCAAGTCCTTCCAGAAGTGGGAGGTGAAGAGCTTGTCTCTGTCTGTGATAAGTTTCTCGGGCATCCCGAAGTTGCTGATAACTTCCTTCTTGAAGATCCACGCTGTTTGTTTGGCCGTGTATGTTTCAAGGAATGGGATGAACAGCGCATACTTGGTGAGTCGGTCCGTGATTACTAGGATGCTGTCGTATGCGATCATCGTTGCTGGGTCCTGGGAAGGTGGGAGCTTCGTGATGAAGTCCATCGAGACGACCTTCCAGGCTCTATCAGGTGGTGCGATACTCTGGAGTTCGCCGTAGGGCTTCCGTCGTGAGGCCTTGCTTCTTGCGCAGAGGTCGCATTTGAGGATTACCCCTGTGACCACTGCCTTGAGTTTCTCAAAGTCGAACTGCTTCTTGACCCGTTGCTGGGTTTTGAAGATCCCTTGATGCCCGTGGAGCGGGTGCTCATGAATTTCTCTGACCAGTTCTTGTTGCAGGGTCTCGGGTATCCACCTGAGTCCTCGGTATTTAACGACACCTCTGTCGATCCTGTCGAGGTTGTAGCGGGAGTCGTTGCCATGTTCCTTTGCGATCTCCGAGGAGTATCTGAGGGTTTCGTCAACGATCTTCTGTTGCAACTCGATGTTCCATGTGTCGATAGTAACGGCGGCGACTCGAAGGGTGCCGTCTTCTGCTTGCCGTAGGAGCGGGAAGTTCTCCGTCTTCTGCTCGTGTTCTGGGTATCGACTGAGAGCGTCTGCTCTGTTGTTTTCCGTCCCCTTGCGGTACTTGATTACCAGGTCATATTGTAGGAGTTCAGCGTACCATCTCAGCAGCCTTCCGTTGAGGTTGGTTCCCTTGAGGAAGTATGTTAGGTTCTTGTGGTCTGAGTGGACGATGACTTGGTGAGGCGATCCTCTGATATAGTCGCTCCATTCCTTGCAGGCCAGAACTATCGCCATGAGCTCTTTTTCGAACGTGTTGTAGTTCTTTTCTGGTCCTGTGAACGTTTTGGACATGAACGCGACGGGATGGATTCGTCCGTCTTCGTCTCGTTGTCCTAGCTGAGCGCCCATTGCGTAGTCGGATGCGTCCGTTTCTAGCTCGAATGGCGCTTCTGGGTCTGGGATGCGGAGGATTGGGTGGCTTAGGATGATGTCGATGAGTCCTTGGAACGCTTTTTGCTGTTTTTCGCCCCATACGAAGGGTTCGTTCTTTTTCGTGAGATCGTTCAAGGGCTTGGCGACTTCTCCATATCCTTTGACGAATACTCGATAGTAGTTCGTGAATCCTAGGAAACTTCGTATCCCTGTGACGGTGGTCGGCACTGGCCAGTTGCGCAGTGCATCCGTCTTGCTTGTCTGCATGTGTACTTGGTTGGGTGTGATCGTGTATCCAACGAAGTCGATCTTTTGTTTGTGGAACTCGCTTTTCTCGGGGTTGATGAGTAGGTTGTGTTCTCGGAACTTGTCCAGCACCTTGCGTACGTGTTCGTAGTGTTCCTCCCGAGTTTTCGAATAGATCAGGATATCGTCGAGGTAGACTACGACGAAGTCGCCGATGAATTCCTTGAGAATTTGGTCCATCATGGTTTGGAAACTCGCGGGTGCGTTGGTGAGTCCGAAGGGCATGACGAGGTACTCGAAGTGTCCTTCTGGCGTGCGGAACGCCGTCTTCCATTCGTCTCCAACCTTGATTCGGATGAAGTTGTAGGCGTCTGGCATGTCGAGTGCCGTGAACCAGTTGGCGCCGTACAACTGGTCTCTGAGGACCGATATCAATGGTAGTGGATACCTGTTTTTGTGCGTGATCTCGTTGAGCTGTCTGTAGTCAACGCAGAGTCGCTTCTTTCCGTTTTTCTTGGGTACAAAGAGAATTGGGTAGCCGGCGGACGAGGTGGATTCTCGGATCCATCCTTTCTTGAGCATTCGTGCGAGATATTCCTTGAGTGTTATTCGTTCGTCCGGGCTGAGTTTGTAGATAGCCTTAAACTGTGGCTCCGTGCCAGGTTTCAAGGGTATTTCGTGGTCCCATTTGGAGTGCGGGGGGAGTCCGCGGTCGTTGTCTTTGTCGAACAGGTCTGCGTAGTCGTGGTATTCTGCCGGTACTTCGCTGAGCATACTGTTGAGTTCTTCGATATGGGCTGAGGCGATCTGCATAATCATGCCTTTGATCCCGTCATCCCATGACAGTTGTCGTGCACCCCAGTCTATCCGTGGGTTGCTTTTGGCCAGCCATCCGCTGCCAAGTATGAGGTCGTCTCCTCCGATCTCAGAGATATCGAAACTGATGTCTTCGCTATGGTTCGAGAATTGGACCCGAAGTGGTTGGGTTTCTCGCTTGATCCATCCGTCGTCGTACCCCAGTGGTCCCCCTTCGAAGTTGCGAATCCTGTATGGTTCTTCCTTGGCTCTCCACGGGATTCTGAGCTTATTGACTAGGCTCGGGCTGATGTAGGTCCCTTGGCTGCCGCTGTCGATGAGTGCTTTGCAGGTTACTCCTTCGATGAGTACCGGGACGACGGTTGGTCGCCCGTACGTGGGTGCGGAAATGGTAGAGGAGGCGATTCTTAGTTCCGGCGCGCCCGAGCCTCCTGCGGGGGCCGCGGTCCTTTTTCCGCCTTGCGTTTTGCTGCTGACAGGGCGTTGTACAAACCTTTGTCGAGCAGTCCCTCGTGCCATACCGTCTCGATGTCCGCCCAGAGATCTTTTCGTCCTTCGCTGGG